GTGTAAGCTAATATAAATGTTCATCTTTCATAGTATGTTATTTATGAGATGACAATGAACGGTGGGTGCTGGGAAACAGATTTTTAACTGTGTTCCTGAGCGCAACATAACTTTGACTCAAGTGTGTCATTCATTCCTATAATAAAATTAAATGAAAATTATTTGTTCATGTTAAAAATCAACAGTCTCTGCATGGAAATGACTGCAACAATTTTAACAAAAATAATTATTGCATGGCCACGGGATATTCTTTTTATATATCTAATGTCACCAGATGGGGTCCATAAACATGAGATTGAACCAGGCAAATTAAAAAATGAGACGATAGCTCTCTTTTGCAGGCCTGGGCCTGAAAACATCCCAACAAGCTCATTTTTTGTATTGTGAGAGTACCTGGGAGTGCTGTACAAAATGTTTTTGACTTCATGTATTTAACTACTGATATTTATGGTGAGAACTTGAAGGTGTTTTTTTTTTAACATGAAGCTCAAATATGTCAAATTTGATTCTAATTTCTTTTGTGTGTCTGTGCTGGACCTGCACTTTGAAACAAATTACCCCATGAAATTCTTCAAGCTTTATCAACACAACAAAAACTATGATAGATGATGCGTGCTAGAGGGCAGCTAATTTAACTAAATAATCGCATATGAATAAATTCAACAAAGTTAATTGCATTTTTTTTGTTTGAACTTTGCAGAGTTAAATACTGATGATTGTTTGCAGCTGACTGACTGTGCTTCAGACGTTTCCTCCTTTCTGTCACCAATCCCCAGCTTTAATCACATGCGCATATGGAACTGAAGAGGAAAACAACAGATTACTGGAGTTGTGGCAGTTGGTCACAAAGTCAGTCCAAACAAATTAGAATTACTGCATCTGTCTGTACAAATTGTATGCATTGTAAAGACAGTAAGATTCTTGAAATAAGAAAAAAATTGAGTCAAATCAAGTATTTAAAGAATCTTAACAAATAAATTTTCTTACTCCATTGGCAGAAATTTTTCACTTAATTTGAGTCAAATTTTCAGACTAACAAGACAAATAATCTTACACATTCTGAAAACAAGATTATTATTCTTACACAATCAATTCTTGTTTAGTAAATCAGTCTCAAAACAAGATCAAAAAGACTTTTTGGCTGATATAAGCTTTTAAAACTTGGTTTGGTGGACTTTTTTGCGACAGAAAGACTGTTTGGTTGCCAAGTGAGAGGGAGTCAGGCGTAGACTGGATCTGTGCTTGCAATCTCAATCTTGTCGTCAAATGTTGCCATGAAGTTTTGAGTTTTGCAGACTTCAGATCTAAATATGAAATATCTGGAAGCAAAGAAGCAGGAGATGGTAAAAAAAAAAAAAACACCCCAGAGACGAAAAGGTTTGCCTTCGCCAAGCTAACCAGGCTGCCTGAAGCTTCTTGTAATGCACGGTGTGTGCAGTGCTCAGGGGATTAATGGAAATGCTAATCACAAAAGAGAAGAACACAAACCCTGCCATGGTTTAAAATGTCCCTAAATTCTCCAGGTGGTTTTGAGGAACCAGGATGATTCTGAGGGACACTTGGGTCTTATCCAACCCACAGGTCATCTTCTGTTTGTACCAAGTATTCTCTCAGCAGTGTTGAAAAATACTAACTTTATATAAAACATTTAATCCTAATCTGAAACATCCCTCTCTCTATTTTCTCAGATAACATTTGAGCCAATAATACAAAAAAAAAAATCAGATTTAAATCTTTGAACAAAGGCTACCTACCCAGTTTGAAGACACGTTTCCAGAACAAGTTTCTTTGTATCTATGTAAATGTTTGATCATGCCATAAAACCTTGTTAAACAGGTTAATCCCACTTTCTGAAGGAAGCGCTCAGCAGGTCATTGCCTGCTAATCTGTCATCATGTCTGATAATCTCATGCAAAGTATAGGATAATCCCTCCCATCGCTTTATCTGTTTGTGTTAACTCCTTGGCACTTAGCCCTTGTCACAGAGCTTAAAGGAGTCCTCCTGGCAGTGAGACCGTGGAGGTCTTGGTCCAGCGGACACCAGATGCATTCATGTTTAGTGGAGGTGATCTGATTTTGAGAAAAAAACTGAATACTGAAGACTCTTATAAGCCAMTGACTGTTTACAATTTTGTTCTTTAGTTGTAAATCATTTTATTTTGCCCAGAAGATCCTCCTGTGTGCACATTTACACAAAACTGATCACTGACATGATATAATCTAAACTGGCCAACTTTCTCTTCACTGTTGTAATATCACCAACCACCTGATGTCTTCTTCCTTTCTTTGTCCTCATCACCTTCATCAATCTTAAAGACAGAACAGGGTTAGGGTTAATCCATGACAACAAGCACGCTAATTTACTCTTCCATCCATCCATCCATTTTCTTCCGCCTATCCGGGGTCGGGTCGCGGGGGCAGCAGCTTCAGAAGGGAGGCCCAGACCTCCCTCTCCCCAGCCACTTCTTCCAGCTCCTCCGGCGTTCCCAGGCCAGCTGAGAGACATAGTCCCTCCAGCGTGTCC